TTTTATACTTAGCTGAGAAATAAAAAGTCCTTAAATGCCTATTATCTGTGGAATTTCTTGTTCAAGTATAATAATATTATCTGTACCCACGCATTTTTAACTTTATTTTATTATTATGATTTTGACAAATTTGACTGACAACCTCTTTGGAGGCCTCCCAAGACCGTTTTTATTCTGAAATGTATGTATTATTTCAGAGTCCAAGAGAGTGACACTGCCAGCCTGACGAATACAAACCGATACAGACGTCAAATTAAGTGTTCACAATTCATTGGTAGTTTGATTCAGGTTGACCTCCATCCCCTTTTATTTGTCTTAGTTGCTTATCTTCTTCATAGCTCTGTGGTGACTGATATGTGGCGATCTAACACATCGCATTAATATAGTCACAACAATCGATTTCAAGAACTAATGAGCTGGCGTTGTACCACTACAAATGGTACAAGCCCACCTACAACGCTCACAATTAGTTTCATCACCAATTCTCTTAAATAGAACATCCAACCTACATCGGTCGGACCGCAGTCCCCGGGCTAGCAACACTTAATTCAGAAAGACAATTACCCTTTAGTCTCCCTTACCAGTCGACTCATCTTCCAGTAGGAACGCACCTTCATCTTATGGTTCCTACAGTTCCTTCAGAGTTCTTCATTTAGCTAAAATAATACTTGTTCACTGCCCTTTACATTAACACTAAAATATTCACAAGTTTTATATATACTAATACTACATGTGTGGTTAGCGCATTGGATCTGCGATGCGAACTTTCGCAAGGGCCGATTATAGGATGGGTGACCAAAATTTTATTATATCAATTCCTCCGTACGTTAAGGCATTTGGTTCCAGCTGCATCTGCAGTCGTTAACCACATCGTGTGTCAAATGAAATATGACAATCTCAACTATTTCGTTAGAAGCTAATTATTAAAATAGTAGGGGACAGGGGCAGACTTAATAGATAGATATACACTTTATTGCTCACACACAATTATTAATAATAGATAACCAATACAGGTACTAATGCTAGGGTGGGCAAAGGCGGTCTTATCGCTAAAAGCGATCTCTTCCAGACAACCTTTCATTTGTGTAACATTTGGATGGAAAAACCGAAGGTAGTGTGCCAGTAGTACAATAGAAAAAAAAAGCCAATAATAATATAATGAGAAAATAAAGTAGTGTGATAATGAAGGTAAATTGAACAAAAATGAGAATTACAAGGTAATCAATATATTATATGTACAAATCCAAAAGATGCTTATGCAATTTAGTTTTGAAAATGGCAACAGATTTTGCATGTCGAATAGCAGACGGTAGCTTATTGCAGAGCACAGCAGCTATATAGTTCTTAAGATATCACAAACACCCACAGAGTTAAGATTAAAGATATCTAGTAAACATAAGAATAATGTTGCTCTAAGCGAGGAAAAATTAACATAATTTTACGATTTTGAGGTGTATTTATTTATGAAAATGAACATTTTTAAGTTCATTGAAGTGATGTAGTTCTCCAGTTTTTATATAAACTACTGATCTAATTTCGACAGTTGTAATGGGATTGTAATGAGAATAAACTCTTTAAAACAAAAAAAAGTGCAGTTTACAAGAAAGCAGTCAAGTTGAAAACCTCTTCTTATTTTTGAAGTTGGTTAAAAATAAATCATTGTAAATAGATACTAATACCAGGCAAACGATGTTACGGGAGAAAGCTAGTTAATTAATAAAGGGAACTTTTCCTTAACTTATTTAATAAGGGAGAGAGAAACAAAAACTTACCAAAATCGCCTTAAGTAATAAAATGGATGACGCGGTAAAAATAAGTGATTCGTGAGAGAAAAATACCTAATTACGCCACCGCACTATGTTGGTTTTTATTAAATAAAAAATTGTTACATTAAAAAAAAGAAAGAATTATAAATATTTGTATATTTTTATATTTAAAAAAATCCTTTGTTAATAAACAGACAAAACAATGATAAATACTCATTACTTAACACCATATTCATGAAAGGGATACACTTTTGACAGTTACTTCTCAAGACGTGATAGTCTACTCAATCATACTAAGGTACACATTTAATCAATGCTATCATAAGTACTATTCGTATTATAGTTCAAGCTACGGAAAATCTCAGAAATTATCAATGTAACCAAGATTTCTCGTAAAAGGTTGATAACGTATGTAGAAATTTGAATCTCGCATAAATTAAGAAGTATATATGAAAATAAACAAAATGGTATAATTTATTAATCGGTAAACTACCATTTAGGAAATATACTAAGCACGCAAAAAGAAGTATTAAAAATGCTTACATGCTTATTATCAAAGGTGTATAAAAGTACAAACATTTAGAAGATTACCACGTATCTGAATTGAAAGACTATTATTTTACTCAGCTAATGAAAGTATTTCACAGAAAACATCTTCTGTATTAAATCTAATTCAATAAATGCCAAACTTATTAGGTATAAACGATATTGTTGTACACTACAGAATAATACCTACAACAATTGATTATAATTACAAATTCAAACATATTGATGTTTATTTGAAAATTAAATTGAAAAGATTCGCCCCAGGCAGGATTCTAACCTGCTTCTTCTACCATAAAATGGTAGATGTCTCTGATTACAACGCTAAGGGTCAGCACAAATCTAACGGAAGATTTCTGTCAGATATACACCGACTTTAAACCTCTATGACGCTCGGCGATCTTTGGACACAAAAATAGGTACTATACAAGTTTTCATTTAATGGGAAAATTATATCTTATTGTTACCACAACTTAATTAAAAACCTGTACAATGTACCTTACAAAACCGCAAAATGTAACAACCTTGGAAAAATTAAATACACAACCAGAAGACATTATTGTAAACCATCGTGAAAAACATCTAATTTAAAAAAAAAGTTAGGCAACATGTAGGTAACTAAAACATTTCACAAGAAAATATCAAAAAATAGAAAGAAAATAAAAGCACTATTATAACAACACAACAAAAATTTAAATAATTGTACAAATTAAAATCATGTGTAAAAAAACTTCTATCGATTAGAATACAACCTTCACTTAATTATAAATCAATGTATCATTACTTAAAAAACCTTTTAACCTAATAAATAACTGAAACAGTATATTTGTTCCACGCTATGTATGATAAAGTGACTTTGGAATGGTTAAATAAATAAATATTAGTTGTCTTATTACTTTTCATACCAACTAATTTATATAGGATAAAAGTTTATCATAAGTCTTAGGTGAAAGGTTTGTTTCATTAGTTTTGACGACTAATATAGATGGTGTTAATGTTTTAATTTAATCTTATTGATTTGTAATTTCCAATTTCACTTGATAATGATTAGGTTTTTCTATTATGATATGAGATGGATTATTATAATAAATGGATTGTAACCCTAGCCGTATGATACGACATCTTAGCGACGTTACAGCACTATTCCGTTTCAGTTTTACTACTTTGACATGTACTTAATTTACTTTTTTATTATATATTAATTTATCAAATTATTCCACCAAAAGATAACTCAAAATAGTAAAATTAGCTAGAGTTATAAAGTTTGAGGGTCGCCCTCCTGCTTTATACAATAAAAAATGACTAAAACATTGATAATTCAATTGAACCAACAATATTATAGAGTAAGGTAACGTCTGGCACGGTTGATATCGCCTTTCTATCCTTTTCTGTAGCTCAGACCCGCCATTTGCTAAAACGAGAAGAAAGGCGGATGTAACACACTGCGGAATCCTTGACGCAAAAGGCAACTGACAGCTCTAAGCAACAGAAAAGAATAAGACAATACCTACCTGCTAGATGTAGTTCAAACCTTATCACACAGACAAAATTTAAAATTATACCATTTTATAAATAGGAACTTGATAAAATTTTACTAATTAGGTAAAATTACATGACTTTAGCAATACCTTGGATAATACTATACTGTTAGAAATCCAACTGGCTATTTAGTTATCTCATACTTCTGGCGGTGGTGATTATATAGAAAGGCAACAGATAGTCTTTGAAAATATATTCAAAGCACTCCAAAATCAGAGAGATGCCGTTGTATATTAAATTCCTACTTATTACTAAACAACATCTAGTTCCACCAAATGAGATGATTGATCAACTAACATTTTAAAATGCAAGATGATACTTTTTGGTTGTTTTATCAAAATAAAGTGATGAGCTCGTTATGATTTCAAAAATGTTGTATTAAATAATATTTTAATTGGTTTTTGTACTTGTGATGAAGTACCATCGCATCTATAATTATAATAATTTCAGTATTATAAAAATGAAAAGTTTATATTGTGACCCCATAATAATACCTAGTTAAAATTGATAAATACTATTATGCTATGTGTAAAACTATTGTCATATCCAGGTAATAATACAGATTTCCTAGTGTTTGTCAATAAATACAGATTATAAATATCATTGATAACACAAAAACAAACCACATCAGATTATTCAAAAATAATTAAATTTCTGCAATTGCTTATAAACTTGAGAGCATTTGAAAATTGATTACAATTTATATAGTAACTCAACATATTGCTGAACATAATAAAATATTCAACTAGAAATTACTTAAATCTATACTCCATTAGATTTGCAACTTTTTAAAAGCTTTATTTCGTTGTTGTTTTGTCACCTTATTGATAAACTATATTAAATTAATGACAAATCATGCACATCAAGGCTCCTCAACCCATATTTTGTGGCCAAGGCTTGAATGTAATAATTTGTATTGGTTAACCTTAAAACCATCATTTTAAAGTCTTTGTTTGGACCAAGTCTTAAAATCATTAAACAGTCTTGATCCAGAAAAATGTACTGTATGAAATAAACTGACCCTTATATTTTAAAAGATGTAAACAATACTTACAAATTGAGCATTATTGTTCTTTTAACAGTGTCTTCATTAGTTTACAGATAAACCTATTTAAGTATTTGATGCGTTTTTAACCTATTAAATCTAAGCTGTCACAAACAAGGTGGTGGTAAGGGAATATCAATCAATTGACATACTTCTAGAAGAAAATTCTTTAAAATGGCTGCTTGATTATCTTTGGATCCATTTAATGTTATTGTGGGAATAAAATTTGGGTTAATTATATGTGTGTCATCGCCATATTTTTTTAACAACTTAGACCCATGACTGTCTGCTGCACAGTCACTGATAGGTTGAGGATTAATTTTCAATTCTTTGGCACACTAGAACAATAAAAAGATTGGTTTAAAAAAAATAGTTTTTATTTTTAACAATCTAAAACTATTGAAAGATCCTTAACTACTCAAACATTCATGGTCACAAAATTTACCAAAAAATTTTTGGTGACTTAAATCATGGTTACTAAGGGGACCATGACTGGCAGTGTGGATAAAACTTTTTTTTTTGTTGGTAACTTCAATAATTATGTATGTAATTTGTGACGCTTTATTTAAAATGAAATATAGTCATGTATCATATGCTAAGTCTGTGTAATATCTATGGGTACATACGTAGCTTGATGTTTCTAAGGGATGACTGTTTGCGATTTGAATGTTCAAGTGGTTAATACTTCTCTAATCGGTATCAGCATTAAACATATACTAAAACAATTATGCAATATTTACCCTTTCCAATGCTCCATCAGCATCCATATTGTCTATGATCATACAAGTTGTTATCTTCACAGCCGTAGTCATATTAACAACTGATGCTATTGCACATGCATGAATTTTATTGGCATAACACTCTTCCATTCCATGTTGGCATGTAAAATAATATTCTCCGTTGCGTGCTTCTGTCTATAGTCAAAAATATATTTTAAATACACTTATGACACATCTTTTTTTTTAAATCAATCAAATTGAGAGGAATTATTATATACATCTTACTTGAGCTTTTCCATAAGGTACTAAAGTAATATCCAAGAAGTCTGACAATTTCTCAGTTACTGGACCCAAATGTTTAATGAAAAAGTGCTTTGAATCTGGACATAGTGCTTCATAATACACTCTTATTTTCACCTTGTCCTTTTTATGTTTGTTAAACATGTCATCTTCTAGTTGTACTATATCCTACAAAAATAGAATAGACAGAGAAATGGTCAGTGCTTTAAAAGTTGAAATAAAATCAATTATGTACAGTACTCTTAAGAAAATTGAAGCAGCGAAACATATCTACCTCAGACAACTGAACTTGTTTCTTAGGAAATAATTGAAAAACTTGCCAAATTATTAATCCGACCAACACTAAAACAATCAGCCTATATCTATTACAAGAATAAAAAGCCATTTGGGATATTTCAAAATTGAAGTTTATATATATATAACATTTAAGAAAGTAATCGAAACAAAATATATATAAAGAACGGTAAATTTAATAAAAAATATAACACAAATTTAAATAAAAATATTAATAAACCCAATTTTTTAATAATAGACACGTTCTATTTAGATGAAAAAGGTAAAAATCCCTAAAATAATAAACTATCCAAATTATCCCGATTCATTTAATGACAGATGAATGACATAACAATATGACAACCACATGACAATTTTTATTTCAGGATTAGTGATGCACATCGACTAGTGATGTTACTATACGTGCTTAAGGGAATTCGCTTTTTTTGTTAATTTTAAGTCTTCTTTCTACGCGGAATTGAGATATAATTAAGTGTTTGTATTTTGTCCTAACATCAGGTGTTGGTAAGTAACAAAGCAAAGGTCTGAGCTAAAAGCTAGATTATAGACTTTATTTACATTTAACACGTGATGGCGTCCGACCCTTACCTAATTACTGTGCAAACAAAAAGCAATTTTATCACATAACATTAAGGTTGACCCTAGAGACGTGTCCGCGTCTTTACGTCTCGGAGTCTCCGAGTTTGTGTAAGTACGAGACTTCTAAATACTCGAAACGCGTTGCACGTCTTGACTCTGCGTCCGCGTCTTCACGTCTCGATGCCTCCGAGTTTGTGTGAATACGAGACTTCTAAGTACTATGGCGACTTATGGCAACTTAGTCTAATGGTGGAGGTGGGTGGCGCAATGAAAAAACTGGTAGAACTTCTCAGTCTTGATATATTTTTGATAAGAATTACATTTAATAACTTACAATAATTATACTACGATGCTCACCCTAAGCTGGTCTCGATCAGAAAAAAAGACTATTCACCAGCAAAACACGAACACGCGAATTCGAATATGAAAAAGTAGGTAATAATTTAAAATATTAACGGCCAGCACTTGACCATAAACCGTCCGAAGAGTAAACCCTACCTATAGTAATGTGCTCGGATGTTACATGCTACTCGAAACGCGTTGGACGCTTGAATCTGCGTTCGCGTCAACGAGTCTCGGGATTTGTGTGAGTAACGAGTAAGTCGATACTTTTAAATACTCGATACGCGTTGATAGCTTATCCGATACTTAGTATTAGGACGTTTAAGCAAAAACTTATACCGAAGACTTATTTCGGTAAATACGTCTCAGTCCTATAAAGTCCTCTTTGATATATATAGTTACTCTCTCTTCGATCATTAATGATGTGCCAATTCGATTATTAAACACATAAATTAATCGTTTATAGTATTTGTTCATGGGAGTATTCCAGGGTTGCCATAATAAGTAATAAAATATCTACTAATGATATTCACACTCGCGATCCGCTATGGGTTGCTGAGCCATCGAAGTAAAATAAGTAGGTATACTAAAGTTTTAAACTATTCCTATTGCTAACGTTTTAAGAATTAATATCAATGGTTAATCGTCGATTAGGAAATCAGAATCCATAGCAAATGGTTATTTGAAAAATTGATTAATGGTTATCGATTCCGCACACTATTAACAATAATATTGTAGTCTTTAGCCGAAGAGTACATTATTTATTCATTAATAACCAGTCTCTGTTAATAACACGGAAATCGTAATCTGTGGAAATCGTTGAAAACTATATAGTCTGTGGACTGTAAATGTTGACTGAATAGATTAATTTCTTCATTTAAAATTAAAATGAAAAATTGAAGTCGTTGATAATTTTTTTATTACTTTATTCCTGTCGTAGAAGATTTATAATTTATTAAAAAAAGAAGTGGAAGGAAATTCTCAAATTAAAACAACTTTAGTGGTATAATAATGTCTTTGTACGATGATTTAGACACAATAAAAGCGAGGACCACTGAAAAAGTAGCTGGGTGGTCTTCGGGAATAAAATTGTTACAATCACAGTTACAGCTTAAAAAAGCTGCAGTAACCCAACCTAGAAGAGAGGCTTTACGTCGTTCAACACAGGTTAAGTACCGCAAGACTTGAAGGCTTGTCATAAAATATTATTTTGCCAGAATACCTAATAATGGATAACTATGTAAATGCCTGATTACATGCATATAAAACACTTGGCAATGTTTTTTTTAATAGGTTTTGACGCCAGTTATAGATTTGAAAAGCAAACCGAAAGATGATGAAGAGTCGAATTCTAACAGCCCAAAGTCACAACCACAAATTATCACAGCTTCATTAAATGTTCGAGATTTTGACTGGAATGTGCCTAATGAATATGATCCGATGTGGCCTAATGATTATGAAAAAGTTGCTAAAGGTAAGGATGCTCTGAATTAAGTACAATCCAGAGTCCTGAGCTTAACTATAAAACCTTTTTAACAAAACATCATACTAATATTATAAGTGCAGAAATTGTAAGGGCCTTTCAAACAAAATTACTGAATGGATTTTAATGAAATTTAGTATATGGATAATTCCTTAATAAACATATTGTCTTCTTTGAATTTAAAAGGTACTGTCCAGTCATTGTGTAAACCACACAGACAAAGCCTGTGGCAGAAAACTAGTAGCATATAATTATCTATTATTTTAGAAATGCAAGCAAAAAGGCTTCAATTAGATAGTGGTGATAGAAATGAAAGATCTGAAAGAAAACGCAAGAGTCGGTTTGGAGATGAAGATGAGATCATACCAGAGAAAACTTTAATACCCATGGTTAGTTATATTTTATATGAACACTTTATATCCTTCTTAGTTTATTATTGTGAATTTTTGAATGATTTTACTCATGCAGTAGCTATATTTTATATTAGATTAGTTATGTGCGGTTGGCTACATCATTTTATCGCTTACAAATGTGCACGGAGAGTAAAAAATAAAATACTTAAGATTGAATTAATTAACTTTACAAATATAATTAGCCAATAGAGAATAAAATATTTATTCTATATAATAATATATTTTATATTCTATAATAATAAAATATTTTATAGTCAAATTAGTTTTCTAATGATGTACTTTTCTATTTCTATTTGATTGGCTGGTGCTTATTCCTAGATCTGTTTCCTTCAGGTGTATGATTGTATATTTTATGAAATGTTTTTTTAGTGAGGCAAATTACTTCATGACAATTAAATTTGAGATATTATTTTTAGTTTTATTTTACCATATTAATTTTGAACAGTAACAATTGTACATATATTTACATACATGTATCTCAGTTAGTTGGTTTTCTGTAATTTTTCAATCATATTATTTTAATGTTTTATGTAATAATAAGTAAGTATCACTTATGAATATGAAAAAAATAAGTACACAATATGCAAACCTATAAGAAATATTTAAATTTCTTCATAACTAATATATTTTGTCAATAGCAACCAGAAGAGGAAGAAGCTGAAGAAATTTCTAAACGCTCTGCAGGGGCTGCTATAGCTCCTCCACCTTCATTAACAGTAGAAACTCCATCCCCACCACCACCTGTTGTTGCTCCTACAGCAACACCAGCACCTGGCTTTTCACTGGGCGGTTATGGAGCCAGCTCAGTAGCTGCCAAGATCATGGCCAAATATGGTTTTAAGGTAATAAAGTGATAATTTATCTTTTTATTAGGCATACTAACATGCTTACTCTTAATTGCAAGACAGTGCTATGAATATTAGGAAACAAATTGTATGATCTGCTATGCCTAAAGCGGAGAATTCACTAGACAGGCATGACTGCGGGCAAGTCTGCCGACTATGTCCACCGTTCACAACACACTACACAGACTCATCAGTTAATGTTCGACGCACTAAGCAACTGGTTGTGTAATCAGTGCATATTACAACTCTGTATTAATAAACTCCTTGCTTTTAACCATCCATAAAGAAGGATATTTTTTTATATTCATTTATAAAACTGCGCTTGCATATTCAGCCTAAAACCATACCTAATGTATAAAAAAAGACAGCGGTACTATAATAAGTTTTATGCTTAATGCACCAAATAGACCATCTGCTATATATATATAATTAATATTTGAGTAGGGTTAAAATATTGTTTGTATTGAAATATATGTGAGAGGAATCAAAATCAAATTTAGTTGTTAGCTGCTAATTTAAAATCTAATTGAACTAAAAGAGTTTTGTGTTATATTATTAAACACAAAAATATTTTTTAGCCTGACTAATTCCTGTTGCAATTTGGAACATTGTAGCAGGCAAAAACCCTTAAAATGGTAATATATATATTTAATATGAGTGGTGAATGAGACCACATCAGTGCAATAAATGCTCACAAAAGGTTAACAGTAAGTTTAAATCATTCTATTTTTTTAAATAGGAAGGTCAAGGCTTGGGCAAGAAGGAGCAAGGTATGTCAGTGGCACTTCAAGTTGAGAAAACATCAAAACGAGGCGGTCGTATTATTCATGAAAAAGATGGAAATGTGATGCCACCGCCAGCATTTACTATGCCTGCACTTCCTGGGCCAGGTAATTTGTAACTTATTTATATGTATTTTCATCAATGTTCAGGCAATCCACCCAAAAAGGTGAAAGAAATACCTTTACAAATATTGAAACTTTCAACTTTCTTTCAAATATTTAAACTTTCAATAAAGATGAAAATTTACAATGCTATATTTCACAATGCTATATTGAAAAACACTCTTATAGGAAGTTTCAATATTCTCATTTAAAAAAAAAAAACTACAACTGTTTGCTTTTTTGTTAAAAAAAGATTACTGAGTAAAATGTGAATTATGATTGTGATTGAAATGTATAAAGGAACACAGGCTAGCAGCAAAATATTACATACCAAATATTACTTATTCATTATGCATACGAGGGTCAAACTGAAAGTTCTTAGAACTGGCCACTTATAAACAATATAATAAAAAAATAATTCTAAAATTTGAAAATATAACTCTTTGCCAATATTACTGAGTATATATTTCATTCATTTGTCATTTGTTTTACGATTTGGCGGCAAATTGAAAATTGTCTGTGTCACGTCATCATGAATTTAACACGAGAAAATTTTCGTGCAATGATTTTTTATGACTTTCGATGTCATTTAAGTCAACAAGAAAGTTATGATAGACTACGATTGGCCTTTCACGATGAAGCCCCATCTCGTGCGACTGTTTACAACTGGTTTAATGAGTTTAAACGTGGTCGCACTAATCTCACTGATGATTTACGTGAGGGACGGCCTTCTACGGCGACGACTGAAGATAACATCTGTGTTGTGCGGCGTATGATAGAGACTGACAAAAGAGTGACCTATCAACAGATTCGGACAAGCTTAGGCATCGGTATGAGTCAAGTGCACAAAATCCTCCACGAACATTTAGCGGTCAGGAAGCTTTGCGCCCGGTGGATACCTCATAATTTGACTGAGGCTCAAAAACTCCATCGTGTGGATTGGTGTCGTAAAATGATTGAAAGATTTAACGGAGGTGACTCAAATGCTGTGTTCGACATACTAACAGGTGACGAAAGCTGGATTTACTGTTATGATCCTAAAACCAAAAGACAATCTGCTCAGTGGGTGTTTCCTTTCGAGGAGTTGCCAACTAAAGTGAAGAGAGATCGAAGTGCGGGAAAAAAAATGGTGGCCTCGTTCTTTGGAAGGATAGGTCATTTTGCAACAATTGTGTTAGAGGATCAAAAAACAGTTTCTGCAGAATGGTACACTACCAATTGTTTGCCACTTGTCTTGGAAAAAGTTCGAGAGAAACGACCTCGCAGTAGGATCCTCCTTCACCATGACAACACCTCGTCGCACACCGCCAAGCGAACGATCGACTATTTGGCGACATCAAACGTTGAATTACTGGGTCACCCGCCGTATAGCCCCGACCTCGCGCCTTGTGATTTTTATTTATTTCCAAAAATTAAAGAAAAACTTAAAGGAAAGCGGTTTATGAATGCTAAAGAAGCGGTGGCTGCGTATCGCGATGCCATTGAAGAGACCCCTAAGGACGAGTGGGCAAAGTGCTTTTCCCAGTGGTTCCATCGCATGCAGCGGTGTATTGACGTGAATGGACAATATTTTGAAAAGATATAATAAAACTAATAACTGGCTAATGTAATCAGTTTTTGATTTTCTAAGAACTTTCAGTTTGACCCTCGTATAAGTAATGTGTGACAAAATCCTTATTATAATTTTCTTTACAGACTCACCAAATGCATCTTCTAATTCACCACAGCTTTCGAAACAAGAGCCCTCAATTACAGAAATAATGAAATCACCAAGTAAAGTTGTGCTTTTGAGAGTAAGTATTTATTTGATGACCAGCTTTCCACCACTGGTTTGGTATGCGTTGTCCTATGTTTAAGTATAAACCTTCCTCTTCACTCTATCTGTTGTTGAAAATCACATTAAAATCCGGTATGTAGTTTAAAAGATATTTGAGTACAGACAGCAGGAAGAGGTTATGTTTTACTATATATAGATGATAATGATTATCATGATCAAATATGAAATAGTTATTGACAATAATAACATTGCTTTTTTGAACTTGGATTAATAAATAATAAATATTTGGTGGTCAATTCTTAAAGATATTATAATCTTACATGCATTTTTATTTTTCAGAACATGGTTGGACCTGGTGATGTGGATGAAGAGCTTGAGCCTGAAGTAAAAGACGAATGTAACACAAAGTATGGTGATGTAATGAAAGTGTTGATATTTGAATTGCCGAATGCTCCTTCAGATGAAGCAGTGAGAATATTTGTTGAATTTAAACGTATTGAAAGTGCTATAAAAGCTGTTGTAGATTTGAATGGAAGATTTTTTGGCGGCCGGCAGGTTAAAGCTGGGTTTTATGATATAGAAAGATTTAATGCTCTACAGCTAACTGAATAAATATTTTATAATTATGTTATAGTGTTTTAAATCTTTATTATTATATGCTTTTGACACCTATGCACAACTGGGATGTTCTTATTGTCATAATCGCTATTATTTATATAAACGTGACCAAAGCAGTAAATGGCGGATTTTTTTTATTGGTTGATAGTTGTTATGTTTAAATGTTAAAAAATATTGAACGCCTTAATTACAATTAACTTGTCTTATTAGATAATTTGCAAAATTTTTAAAATAAAGTGTTCGTAAATGCAGTTATAAAAGGCAGAGCAAACCGGGGGACGAGCTGCTCACGTCTGCTCACGTTTGGCCCTTTGTAACCCTGCAGGTGTCCCCCGGGTGGCGCCAACGAGCAGCAGAGGGAGCCCGTCAGGCGTTCTGGACTTATTCCGGATAGTGGCTGACGGGCTGGGAGGAGGAGGGTTCGACCCCTTCGGGTGGGTCGTTGTTGGCCCTTTTCAGGGCCGTCTTGAGGAGCGTAGGGAGGGTGGTAAGACCTTCCTGGTCGCGAACGGGGGGTTTCCTCTTTTGAGGAGTCTCGTTGTTGGTGAGGGCTCCGGGCCGGCGCCCTGTCGGTAAGACGGGTAGCGGCGGCGCGGTTCGGGTTGGGCGGGCGTCTCGGGGGTAGCCCGGGATACGGTCGCGCCAACGAGGGCGGTGGGCTCGTCGTGTCATGGTGTCATGAGCGGCGGGCGTCCTTTTCAGGACAACCACCGGCCGACCCGTACCTCCGCGTTGAGCGGAGACGGGGGGGCTACCCTTTGCTGGGCGACCCTGTGTGGACGAGACCACGGTAAAAAACGACCAACCCCACGCTTGACCTGGGTCAGGGGGTGAGTGGCTCCTGGTAATGGAGTCGCTACAGGTCCTCTGGAGGCGGGGACCGACCGACCCCCGCCTTCATAACCCTAGGCTTGCTTGCACATCAGGCCTCTGTGCAAGTGGACCTCTAATGCTTTGATTCTCGTGGGATCAGTATGGATGACTTAACAAAAACAAAAACTTTTGTGGTGAGGGGGCCGGACTCGGCGATATTGAGTCAATCAAGCCATGTGTATCGAGTGCACATTTTGAAGTGAGGGAGCCCGCCATGGGCGGGAGCGAGAGGGAGTCGATGGATGTGGATGTGAGAGGTTCGGCAGGAGAGGATTTGGACGAGGCTTCGGCTTACGGTGTGTATGTGTACCGAAACTGCCTAAGCGGTGACGTGTCCGACATTAACTACATACTGTCCGAAATGAGGGATTGGGCTTCGATATGCGCAGATGTTACTGTAAGGGAAACGGCGCTGTTGGAGAGCAAAGACAAGCGCAACAAACAATTGTGTGCAATGAAGTTCAAAAAAGGGTATTTTGACGACAGATCTGTTGGGGATTGCATTGAGGATTATGCTTTAACTGCAGATGAAATTAAGACCTTCCTGATTGATGCTGAGGCCGCGTTAACGGGTATAAGGGACAGGAGGGAGCGTCTCGCTAGAGAGAAAGAGGTGCTGGTTGCAGCCAACAGGCTGTTAGAGGATAAAGTGAGGGAGCTTGAGACCCCCAAAATATATGCGAACGTGGAGGTGCAATACGTGTCCTATACGTCACGCTGCAACCGAGGGGTCCAGTGCGATATGAAGAGGAGCTGTGCTGAAGTGGGAATACAACTTTCTTCCCCGCGAGTGCGTGATGTCGGAGTACAGTTGGAGGAGATGGTAAGGGGAGCCGACTCTGGTTCCCAGACGGAATCCTCCGAATGGACATACACGGAGAGTGTGGAGGGGAAACAGCCTTCATCCTCCCAGCAAAACCCAAAAGCGGTCCGGGAGCCCACCTGGGCGCAGGTTGTTGCTGGTGAAGGGAAAAGGAAAAGGACGAGGAAGAAGAGGGGCAAGAATGAGAGGGAGGTTGTGGAGAGGAGGGAAAGCAAGGAAAGGAGGAAGGCGAGGGAGACAGATGCGGCGCCAATGACGCGGTTACCCGCGACAACGGCGCTGAAACCGCCCCCCTCACACAGGAAGAGAGGGAGGAAGAAAGGAAAGGCGATGGATACGTCGGCCGGCATGATTTCCATCCCCCCTGAAGAGGTTAAGAAGGGGGTGACCTATAAGGAAGTTATGACCAAGGCGCGACACATGATTAGACTCCAGGACCTGGGCATCCCTGGAGTCGATATGGGGAGGGCTGTCTCGGGGGCTCTTTTGATGAAGATTCCGGGGGCAAAAAGTGACGGTCTGGCGGACAAGCTGGCGGCGGAGCTGAGGAGAGCACTTGGCTCAACAATTGAGGTTACAAGGCCAGTGAAGCGTGTCGATATACGCATCACTGGCCTTGATGATGCGGTCGAAGTGAACGAACTAAGGTCCGCAATCTCGAAGGGGGGTGGATGTCCTCCGGAACGGATAGTGATGGGCCCTTTTTCGGAAGGAGTGCGTGGGGGTAAGGTGGTTCACATCTGCTGCCCAGTGGATGCGGCCAACGCACTCTTGGAGGGAGGAGGACTGGTGGTGATTGGCTGGACGAGGGCGAAAATCCAGCGTCTCGAGCCCCTGCCCATGCGCTGTTACAGGTGCATGGGCACGAGACACGTCCGGAGAACGTGTCCCGCAAAAGAGGACAGGTCCGGCATCTGCTTTAGGTGCGGCCTTGAGGGGCATCGAGCGGCGACGTGCCGCGGGAAAGTGCGCTGCGCGGTTTGTGCGGCTGCATCACTTCCCGCAAACCACGTCATGGGGAGCAAGGTGTGCTCCCCGCCACCACAGAGGGTGTGGGCACGGTCGGTACCCGTGCCCCATGAATCTCGTGCGGAACTGGCTGATGACCTCCCTGAGATGATGGACACGCATTAGCGTGTTCGTCTCTCTTGGGGGGGGGGGGGACGGCTGGAGCGGCTAGCAGTCGACTGGTTCCCTGGCAGGGTTACGTCTGCCGGGTGCGCCTGTGTCGCTGCTAGTGAGAGGAACATGGGGAGTCGACCTGCGTTTGCAGGTAAGGGGATTTCCTCTGTGGCTCCGGTTTGGGTGCCCGGCTCGGCCGCCATACATACCGCATGGTGTGTGTGGCGGCCGGTCCGGGCGGTACCATTCCGGGGCCGCGCAGAGAGGAGCGGCGGAGCCGGTTGATGAGGCCTGATAGCGCCCTTTTCAGGGCTGTGGTCAGGCCGTACTCCGGTGGTAGCTGCGACCGTACGGGGGGAGGGATCCACGATAAGGGCTCTGCCTGTGTGGGTCCTTCCAATAGATGGGAAAGAGCCTAGAGATTGCACAGTCGCGCATCTCTAGTCCCTAGTCGGGGACAGCTGGCTGGTTTGCGCACTAGCCGGCATTGCACGTCTCCGCCCTGTCTGAGGGGGTACGTCTCGAGTGTCTCTGAGATGTGCCGCCCAACCCGCGAGGGACCTGCCCTTTTCAGGGCGGGCCGAAATGGGGACGAACCGCGCGGTGTATGGCCTCCGGGCCGATCCCGTGCATCGCCTTCCATGCGAGGGACATCGCTGAGTTTTAGTGGGTAAACTCCTGTTTCTTGTCTAACCCCTTCGGGGGTGGGGCCACAGAAGGAGTCCCACATAACCCGTGAAGCCCGCGGGTGTAGCGGGTATGCGTAACGCATTTCTCAGCGTCAAAAAAAAAAAGCAGAGCAAACCAAACCAGTTTCAATTCATTTTAGTTTCGTAACACTAGGTGGCACTTTCATTATTATTATGTCCCATATTTATATGTGAAAATTCATCGCAATCTAATGAGGAAGTATTTAAAAAAATAAATAAATACACAAATTTATACCCCGTTTCATTTAAAGTGGCAACAAGATGTAAACAATATGGCGACATGACAGCTTTAGTGATGAGACATATTATTATGAATTTCATTAATTGAACCATCTCATTCATTTCATTCAGTAACTGACTTTTACCATAAATTTTGTCTTAAATGAAGATAACTATTATCAGAGTAGTATAATATATAATAAAATGTATTTTATAATATTGAATAATGGTAAAATACCATGCCTGAAATTTATCCTAAAATTTATGTCTATTTTGCAGCCGATGCAAAACTAAGTGATCCGCGGGGATTTTTTTCACGAAATCTTCATACTGCACAAAAATTACGCGCGCAGATAAATCAGCTAAAATTTGTAGCTGTTATGGTATAATCTGCAGTAAAGCAGATTAATGCTATTTTTTTCAACAAATGCGGATTTTCTCATATGATTTAAAGTGTTACAAAATTGCGATATTAAATTAGTGCGATATAAAACCGCGATGCATACAGATTTTCCCATACTAACCGTTCTTAATGGCACTCCTGTACATTAAGTACTCTATGTAACTACTCGTTATAGTTTATTAAATAATAATTGTCCAATAATAATAACTGTACATATATCATTAGCTCGGTGGCGTAGTGGATAAGCGCCGCGGCACGCGATCGTAGTCGTTAAGCAATTTTCGCAAGGGTTGGTCACGGGATGGGTGACCAAAAAATTATTATCTCGAACTACTCCGTGCTTCGGAAGGCACGTTAAGCCGTTGGTCCTGGCTGCATTTGCAGTCGTTAATACTCTCCAATCCGTATTGGGCCAGCGTGGAGGGTCATGGCCCATCATCCTTAACCATCCATAAGGAAGGCCTGAGCCCTTGCAGTGGGGACGTAAAAGGGCTGGTGATGGTGATGGTGATATCATTAGCGTAAAATAAAACCCAAATTCATATGTTATTCTAATTATGTTAATCAATATTAACACATTACCTTCCTTCTGTTCACAATCGGGTAATAAAATACTTAACAGTTAAACGGGTTTGACAGTACGTGATTTATATATAATAAAACGTTTCTGATTTTCTGAAAGATTATAGCTATCTTATCTACAGTGTTATATATTTTAAATGCCTCATCTAGATGCAGGGCATATTAAATACTTCGCACATCTATGTATTGGGCTAATAGCAAGGACTACCTTCTTTTAAAAAATTGAAAAAAAAAAAATAGTTTATATAGCGATTAAAAATCGTTCGTTTGTTTTTGGTGTTATACCTAATAGGGATGATGACTGGGTCAAAAAAATGCAATTCTATTTAGTCCGTCAGTCAGATAATAGAAAAATACTAGATACGTATTTTTTTTACTTCAATTGAACAAGAAATAGCTTAGATAACAGGTTGAGGAGTGGGGGCTCGCTACGTCACAGTTGAGTAGAAAACGTACTCTAACGTGACGTCATGCGAAATTTCAACTCAATGTAACGCTGTAATTTTATGATTACGAAAAAAATAAAAAATACGTTTTAATATTTTTAACACTCTACCTGACGGACAAACAAACAAAAATTATTCATCATCCCTATTGTTTATATGTTTTATATTCTCATTAAGTGAATTTTTATAAATCTTTTGAGAATAAAGATTTCTATAATCGTAAATAAATAAACCGCTTGCTATAAATATTTTTAAATTTACATTAAATAATTCATTGAAGTTCGCTTAGTATGTAATGATTATCTAAGGCAGAAATTTATAATGTGATCTAAAATTATGTAGTGAATTTATGGAGAGTTCTGTGCCTAACGAAACAAGGCCATAAAAAATTTACAGTTTATCTAAGAAAATATATTATACTGGAAATTATACCATATTATCCATACATTGTAATGAGGACGATAAATGACCTTAGTGGCTATAGCTTTATCTTCTCTTACTCACTCTATCCCTCCCGCACTAAAAAAGCCCATCACTAGGGGGAAGTATTTAAAAAACATTAGTTCTCAAAATCAAACTAGATATCGCCACGGTACTTTCGTGATTTCTCCATGACAACACTTCCGGTTTTCTTTTATATATAAAAGTAAATTCATTTTCAAAACTAAATAAACAACTCATATTCTATTTGTACTTTTGCTTATTTGTATTGATATCTAAGTTTCGAACTTTGCAAATTTCAGTTTTTATTATAAATACGGAAATGACTATTTGGTCCATTCGTTCCCTGCAAAAAACAACTTTTGGTAAAGTCGCCATCTAGTGAGGTGCTTTTTTAGTGCTTTCTTTTTTTCTTAAAATGCTTCCTCATTACATCCGTTTCACGATGTCAATATCCAAATTGCTGTTTACACGGGAGTACTTCATAATCTTACTAATATTTATCCCGCTATAAACAGTTCACTGGGGATCACGTCGGTGAAGCCGCTGAGATGATAATACATCAGAAATCAGAAAGAAAATCCGAATACATATCATAGATAAAATTAAAAACCGCTTGTGACGTTTAGTTTGCTTTTGAGAACTTACAATTATTAATGCAAAGAATAAAGTTGTAATACTCTTTCTTTGACAAAAAAAAATCACTATGAAGTACACTAAGAAATTTGCTATTATAAATATCTAGTAAAATTTACAGTTATGGGTATTCTATCAAGTAAAGATACAAGACGTGTTAGTTTTGATAATACTTTAGCGTTATCATCAGCACTAAACATTCAAAAAACATTAGAATGTGATAATGGAGCGGATCTATTAGATTTAGCAGACGTAAGTTTAAAGGACCAGTTATGTACATGTGTATATTATTTAACCCGAACTTCGCAGCGCCACTGGCGAATTAATTATATTTTTCATTCATTTACTCAAAACGCCGGACGGAGCTATTTCCTTAATTAAAATATTCGTTAATAAACTTTTTCCAAAAAAAATGATAGACTGACGATTGACGTGGAGATCTATTGAGGAGGCCTATGCTCAGTAGTGGTTCATGAAATTAGATATATAAAGAAACATCCCGTTTGTTTATTAGTTTTAGAAACTTTCTAAATGCAAATGTAAGTACGAGTATTAAATTTTTACCTTGAAAGAATCCCGTATGTAGTACTTTCATCCTGTTCATTAGAGTTTATTTGTGGGTACCCTTTATAAAGGTTACGTAATCGTAACCTTATGTTAATATTTATTATAGAAGGAACCCGACGACGAACTAGTTTTTCATTCCATTCGTAATAATAAAGCCACGGAGCAGCTGAAAGAAGAAGGCGACGGTGATTATTGGGCTCATAGGATAGAATATCTGAAAAAAGAGCATCAAAAAATAAACACGATTCTTGAATCTGAATACGAAAGGACTGTTGAAGAACAATCGAATAAATCCTTTGATTCTCCTAGAATTACAAATGAAAAGTTGCTGAAAATTAAACCGTGTATAGACGCTCGAGTAAAGGTAATATAATATTGTCTACTAGCTGTGCCCGCGACTTCGACCGCGTGGAAAGTAGCCTAAGATACTCCTTATTACATAAGCTGCCTGTAATAGTTCCGTCAAAATCGGTCGAGCAAAGATTAGCCGGAACAAACACACAGACGGACAAAAAATATTAAAAAACAAGCCTTTGCCCGCGACTTCGTCCGCGTGATATAGTTACTTTGGGCAACATATATTTTCCAAAAACGCTGTTGTTTTTTGAGCTGATGATGAAATTATCTTGATGTTCTTGAAATGAAATTTCCTTGAAGTTCGAAGATGGTACAATAAAAAACCAACAAATGTCCAATATCGTCGGGGATAGTGCAAACCTGCGTAACTAGCATTGGATAATTCCGCGTATCTGACAAGTGTAGCCAATTTTAAATTTCGCGGGCATTCCACGCTAGACCCCGATTGGCAGCCTTCTCATTGACGTGACTTTCGTTCAACCAATAGAAAGCGAGAATTCGCCCAAAAACAATACTGCGTATCTACAACCGGCATTTTGACAAAACTGCATATCTTCAGGTGTCATTGGAAGCGTATTTCGTGGTTCATTTGTGTTGTTAAACTCTGTGTTTACGTTAAAAAAAGTTATTATAATATCAGGTAAGTGTTGATTCAATGTTGATTAACTATTTTCCGTGTGAAATGTTAAGATTTAAGATTCATTTAAATGCATTTTTACTTCATCTACTCCTAAACTAACATTTTTGACCAAACTGCCCATTATTATAAAAATAAACGTGCCTAATATATCAAGTCTTTATAAATACTTTTAATATTGAAACAGATCACCGAATTATATAAACCAAGTGTTGCTTTGTCTGTATTTACACATTTTATGTAGCTACGCGGTTTTGCTTTCCGTTAATGTAATTGTTACGGACGGCGGACATGAAGACCCTTCCCCGCGACCTCACCCCCGCAACGAGTGGAGGGGGCACACCACGGGCAGCAGCGACGGGAGCACCCCCCCGCGACCTCCCCGCCGCATAGTGGAAGGGGCACCGACATAACATGAATCTATTAGGTCAATTAACGTGTTAGGATAGTAGCTAAGTGCGAACGAACAAATCCCACTTAAGTAAACCCGATTTGTATGAAAGCATGCCGAACAGTCTGTCATCGATCGTGGATAGTTGCGTGCGAACAAAACTAACCATTATAACGGTCAATAAAATTTTTTCGATCCGATCATTCTGCTCCAGACTTCCACGCGCATCGCACGTCTTCAGCATCCTGCCTTCTCACCAACATCAAGATCATCTTTCAACACGCGTACCTGCTACGCAGCTCGCACATCACGGCACGTCGCCACGTCACATCAACACCAACATCGACATCGGCATCACCAACCTGCCGCTGGCCGCTCCAACATCGCCGGCCCACTCGCGCCCTGTGCGCGTCCACTCCGCCGCCACATAGCGCGCCCTCGCGCGCCCGTATATAGGGCAAACCGCGCGCCCGTGCGCGCCCGCGTTGCTCTAATAGTTATTGCGTGCCCGCGCACGCTCGCGTCGCCTTAGCTGCGCGTCCGCCCGCGCCCGCGTTCGCGTTCGCGTCCCGCGAGTGATTACTAGAGAGGACTCTGGACTCTTAAATAAGTCAAGTGTTGTGCCTTGTGTTGTGAAAGTGTAGTGTTACGGTCCCGGACTATCGACCGTACTTACTGGATTTCAGTGCCCTACTGGATTACAGTGTTTGGACTTTACTCACAAGGTAATTCTTTTCGATAAACACACACCCTACAGTGAATCCCTTCGCTGTAGGATTACATTCGGCCACTTTGGCAACCAAGTAGGTTACCTTACTCACGCCTCCCTGTCCTCTTGGCAGGGAGGGCTGTAGCCCTCTCCCTTCCTAATTAAATATAGTTTTATTTTAAATCTACTGTGTGCTTCAACTTTATTTCATTATTTTCTATATTACTGCACTGTGTCCTGCCCTCCCCCATGGCAATGCACGCTGTCATGGGCGGGGACACCGAGGCGGGAATGCGCTGGCTCGCGCAATCCTGCCCCGAAGCTTATAAAACGTTAGTCAAAAAATTCGGTTTTACCTCCCTCACCACTGAACCCAAAAATTCATCCACCGCCGCCACCGCTGTCGCTTCAAAACCCAATGCTTCCGCTCCTATCGTGCACGATGTCAGTCCATCGTCACCCGCCGCCTCTACATCGGATGAGGACATGGACATCGCTCACGATATCGCCATTAACGGCGACTTCACCGTAGTCGGTAGGAGGGGGAAACGGTCCCGTAAGGCCGATTCCCACTCCTCCGACTCCGAATCCTCCGACTCCGCGGACCCCCCGCCGAAGGCAGTCAAAGCAAACACCGGCTCACCGCGACCGACATCTCCGGATAACAACAACAAAAACTCGCCTCGCCAACTGAAAACAGGCCCTCCGCCACCAATTTACGTCCAGGACCTTAAGTCCTGGAACGATCTATCGCGTGCGCTTAACAATAAGCGCATATCATACGTCCAGGCATCAAAAACCGGGACCGGTGTCAAAATCACCGTATCAGACTCGTCCGAACACAGGAAACTCACCACTTATCTCCGACAAGCCAACATTGGCTTTCACACTTACTCTCTACCCGAGGAACGCGTCCTACGGGTAGTCATCCGCGGGCTCCCTAAGGAGCTAAGCACCGAGCTTATTACGGAGGACCTCAAATCTCAAGGCCTCCCGGTACACTCAGTAAATTGTCTTTTCTCTAAAGACAAACGGCCATACGACCTCTTTATGGTCACACTCGACCTCTCTCCTGAGGGGAAGAAAATATATAATATTAAGTCAATCTGCCATCTTTCCAATCTCAAAGTAGAGCCGCCGCGTAAACGCAACATTGTAGGACAATGTCACAATTGTCAACTGTACGGACACTCTGCCCGCAATTGTTTCGCGCAGCCGCGCTGCGTCAAATGTACCGAGAGCCACGCAACCAAAGACTGCCCGAGGCCCAAGGTTCCATCCAAAGACAACCCACCGAGCTGCGTTCTCTGTGGAGGCGGACACACCGCTAACTATCGCGGATGCCCCAAAGCTCCATCGAGAGCGCCGCTCGGCAACAAAAACCCAGCCAAAGTAGCTACCACCCGCACAGCTACAAAGGCTACAAAGGTCGCAACCGTCACGACCCCACCAGCAGCAGCAACAACAGCAGCAGCAGCAACAGCAACACTATCGGCCTCCCTTCGGCCTACTCCCCCGCCTAATGCTTGGGTTAAACCCCCGTCCATAATCCAAAAAACCACACCCCCTCCCGCCATAGCGCACCCTCAGCCGCTTCAACTCGCCGCTTTAACACCCACGCCCACGGCTACCGACTCCTCCTTCTCTGTGGGGCCCCTCGGCGGCGGCATCTCGAACGCAGACCTTGCGTTCCAAATCGCCGCCGCGATTGACCCCGAGGAGCTCGAGGAGCTGGGAGCCAAAATGAAAAGGGCTCTAGGCAACTTCCAGCTATTGGCCCAGGTGTTCCGTGAACACCGAGCCCTTATCAATACCATCCGGTCCCTCACAATTAAGGCCCACTAATGGCTAACACAAGGATAAAACCCCTTTCCCTTAACTTAGCCTTCTATAACGCTGACGGCTTCACCGGTCAGTGTATAGAAATTGCAAATTTCTTAGTTGAACACTCAATAGATATCTTTCTTGTACAGGAATCCTTTTTAAAACCATCCAGAAGAGATCCGCGTTTCGCTAATTATAACCTTATTCGTAATGACAGAACTAACGGTGAAAAGGGTGGTATCCTTGTATACTACAAACGCTCGCTTCATTGCGTCCCACTTCCCACGCCTCCGCTCACGGAAATGGAAGCTTCAGTCTGTCGGCTAGGCATGACCGGTCACCGCCCGATCACTATAGCCTCAGTATACTTATCGCCCTCTAGGACACTAGTAGAATCAGAGCTACGGGCCCTGTTTGCAATGGACGAAGCCGTCATTCTTGCCGGCGATTTCAATTGCAGACACGACCAGTGGCGTTGCATCTCAACTAACACAAACGGTCGAAAGCTAGTCAAGTTGTCTGACACTATGATTTTTGATATCGTAGCGCCGATGACCCCCACACACTATCCCAGAGCCCCCGACCATGCCCCCAGCACCCTCGACCTGGCGTTGCTAAGGAATGTATCTCTTAGGATGCGCTCCATAGAAACGCTACCCCAACTCAACTCCGACCATCGCCCAGTCCTTCTTCAACTAGGGCCCCCACCCGTCCCATCCGATCCTAGAACAGTGACGGACTGGAAGAAGCTCATTGATCTCCTCGAGCCTTCTGACGGTTCGCCGCTGAACTCCATACCCGACACAATAACCACTCTCTCTGACACTAAACACGCGATCGGCGTTCTCAACGACCACATCACCACCGCTATTAGCGAGGCGGCCCGGCAGGTTCCAGCGATGGTTGACCGCCGCTGCAAACTGCCGGCTGACGCTAGGGGGCTGTTGAGGGCGAAGAACGCGGCTACACGCGCACACGACGCTTACCCCACTGAGGACAATCGAATCCGATTGCGCATCTTACAGCGTGCTGTCAAGAAACGCATGAAAGAACTCCGGGAGTCTCAGTGGGATGAGCTTCTCAGCGACATTTCACCATCGCACACTTCCTATTGGAAACTCGCGAAATCATTTAAATCCGATACGATCACCACTATGCCGCCTTTAGTTAAACCGGATCACTCCATCGCTTTTGACGATGACGAGAAGGCCGAATGCCTCGCCGACAGCCTCGAGGCCCAATGCTCCCCTAGCTTGCTTCCCGTCCCCCCGGAACACGTTCGACATGTGGACGATGAGGTCACCAGGCGCTCCTCCCAGCCTCCTGTTGACGCCATCGACCCGGTCACTGTAGATGAGGTGCAAACGTTAATCAAAAATCTACGTCCTCGCTCCGCCCCGGGCTCGGACGGCATTTCAAACAAAATCATTAAAATATTACCAGCTCAACTCGTCTTTTTACTAGTCGCCATCTTCAATGCGGCTATCGCGAACTGTATCTTCCCACCCGAGTGGAAGGAAGCCGTCGTTATTGGAATCCGCAAACCCAATAAGGACGGCTCCATTCCCTCAAGCTATCGTCCTATTAGCCTACTGAAATCGATAGGTAAACTCTATGAACGCGTGCTTTCTAATCGGATTAAAGATTTCGTTTTCTCTAATAAGATTATGATGGACGAACAATTCGGGTTCCGCCCTAGTCATTCATGTACCTATCAAGTTCACCGGCTAACTGAACACATTTGCTATTACCGCGACTTCCTTAAGCATCAACCCGTCCCGACGGGGGCGTTGTTTTTCGACGTGGCGAAGGCTTTCGACAAAGTCTGGCACAACGGGCTGCTATACAAGCTCTATCACCTCGGCCTGCCAGACAGACTCGTGCACATCATTCGAGACTACTTGTCTG